AATTGATTAATCAATTAAAAGGTCAAGCTATAAAGCAAACCCTATACATAAAAAACTAAAAGCATCCAAGATGATGGGGGGCAGAATCAATTACCCCACAAGTCACTTCCACGGATGCGAGCCCTCATCCGGCCCCCAGGCCATCTGGCATAGCCAGGATTTCAGGCTCTTCCTGAAGGCCTTGAGAGTGGGGCACGCCGCACCTAAGGAGGTCGGTTGTTCCACAGAACCAGGGCCAGGGCAGAAAAGGCCCTCTTCCTAGACCCCACCAGTCGAAATTCCTTGACTGGTGGGGTCTGCAACATGCCCCTTCTGCCAGACTGAAAAAATGGCAAAGGGTAAAACACCAGGATTAGATGGATTTCCTATCAAGTGGCTCAAAACATTTATAGATCTTTTGGTGTCAAAAGATATTTGATAAGTGAATTTTATCACCAGCATTTAATCAGGCTTATATTACAGTTATACCAAAAGTAGATATAGATCATACTCAGTGTGCTAATTATCATCCGGTCTCATTGATGTTGACACAAAGATTTTAACAGCAGTGTTAGCAAATAGATATAGCAAATGATATTGTTCATTATTAAGAATGATCAAGCAGGGTTTATAAAAACTAGGCAGGCAGGAGACAACATTAGGTTAGTTGTAGGTTTAATAGACTTGAATAAAAACGAAGATCAATTTGTAATTTTATTATTAGATGCTGAAAAAGCCTTTGACAAAATACACAAGCAATATATATCTGCCGTATTAAATAGATTTGGATTTTTGAAGTTTATAAAATGGATTAAAATATTATATTAGTCACCCACTATGTTTTCTCCTACTCTCCCACTATTTAGAGGAACTAGACAAGGATGTCCACTTTCACCCTTGCTTTTTAACATTTGTGTGGAACCCTTGGCTTGTGATATTAGGCAACACAGAGAGATCTACAGAGTAGTACCCAACTCAGTTGAAAGTAAATTGGTTTTATTTGCAGATGACATTCTTTTGTTCATTTCTAAACCTCATATTACTATTCCAGTGTTGATGCAAACGATAGATGCCTTTAGTAAAATAGCAAGATACTCTGTTAACTGGTCCAAATTGGAATTGATGCCAGTAGGTGAAAACCTAGTTACCCATTCATTTAAGGAATATCAATTCCATGTTTGTACTGAATCTACTAAATATTTAGGTACGTCTATACCAAAGGATATAACTCAGTTAGCAATATGTAATATAAATAAACTATATAGAGAGGTTTCTTCAGATATCAATAGATGGGAGTCATTAAACCTCACCCTTTGGAGAAAGGTAAATGCTTCCAAAATGAACGTTATTCCCAGATTCATTTATATTCTAAGAGGAATTCCAGTTTTTATGTCTGGAAAATATTTTCAAAAAATAAATTCTTTGTTTAGAAAATTTCTATGGGATTCTTCAATTCTGAGAATATCTTTACAGAAAATGCAGTTACCAATTAATGAGGGAGGATTTGGTCTTCCAGTCCTGGAGTTATATTATTATGCTTAGCTATTGTCAAGTGTTAAATACTGGAAGCCAACAAGTAGTGTTAATTTTCTGATTTGGACAACTTTGGAATATACATATATAACACCTTTGGTTGGATGGACAGTATTAGGATTGAAATACACTAAAACTCCAATACCTTTGGAAACAATTTCGTCAATTAGAAAGCCATGGAACATAATGTCCAATTAAAAAAAAATTGACTCTTTTTCCTATGCCAAATTGACTCTATGGGGAAACCCAACTTTAAAAATTGGGGAAAAGATGGTGATATGGAAAAATTGGATGGAAGCAGGGATATTGACTTTGGACCAACTGATAGATGATGAAATGAATTTTTAACATGTGCTGTGTTAAGAGATAAATATCATCTATCGGATGTAACCCAATGGCAATATTTACAGTTACAACATTTGTTAACAACATTGGATCAGCAGCTTTTTCAGCTTCTGAGGCACCTGAGATATTAGAACAACTTGTTAAATCCTTTAAAACTAAAAAGCCTACTATTAGTTTGTATAGTTATTTGTTATCAATAGATCGGTTTGATATGCAGATGCTAAGGGATGAGTGGAATAAAGAATTAGAGGTTTCAATATTACCTAGACAATGGGAGAGTGTCTTCACTTCTGTAGCAAGAGTGTCAATGGACCTCAAACTACGACTTATACAGCAAAAAATAATATTTAGAATTTATTGGACTCCACTACGTCTGTATAGAAAAGGATTGTCAAAAACAGCATTTTGTTGGAGATGTAATAAGGACAATGCCTCTTTAAAGCATATGTATTGTCAAAAACAGCATTTTGTTGGAGATGTAATAAGGACAATGCCTCTTTAAAGCATATGTATTGTCAAAAACAGCATTTTGTTGGAGATGTAATAAGGACAATGCCTCTTTAAAGCATATGTATTGTCAAAAACAGCATTTTGTTGGAGATGTAATAAGGACAATGCCTCTTTAAAGCATATGTATATATAAACTTATAAAGTTTTGGGAGAAAGTAGTGGACTCTATAAATATGACTGTGCGACAAAAGCTAAAATTTTCAGAGGATAATATTCTCTTGAGTTACATACCTAGCACATGGGATCTGACAACCAGACGATGTAAATGGATTCTCCGTGCCTTTGGTAGGGCCAAAAGACTGACATTGCAGCTTTGGAAAGATAAATGTATGGCCCCATTTACTCAATGGACTGAAGACCTGATTGCACTTGCCACTTATGAATGGATTGCCTAGAAATGTTGACTTTGTATGGACAAGCATAATGAAACATGGGACTCATTTATACAAAATATACTGAGTTAAAAGAAAAAACAACATGATAGTCATATGACTCTATTAGAAATATATATGTATTTGAACAATATTTGTATTAGATAAGCATATATAGAATTCTAACTTTACTGTTTTTATTCATTTATTCATTCAATTTATATAGCTGCCCATCTCAGACCAGTAATTATATTAATAATGATATATATTTTTTTCTTTTTGTTATATTTTTTCACTTTTATATTAAAGCACTTTTATGTACTTTTTTCTTCTTTTTGTAATTAAAAAATAATAATAATAAAAAAGAAATAAGAACAAATTGAGTATTCTGGTTGGGGTTCGTCAACCTGTACAGGTAATTGGATCAAAAATTATGACCAAAAGATTGGCGGGGGGGAGTATTGGAATACAAAAACTATTAGATCCTATTCTTCCTTCCTTTCTTGGAAGGAAAGAGAAAAATAATGGAATGCTTTTGTAAAATGAGCATGAAACAAGGCACCCTCCGCGGTTTTGCTGGTAGAATATTGAATGGAGTTCAGATCCAAACCAGGATTGTTGGTTGGTTTTTGGCATCTCGCTGTCCTAGGATCATGCTTCTGTCTGAAAAATGGGGTATCGGGGACATCCTTGCTTGCTTTTTTGATGAGGATTAATGATAACACTTGACTAGAATCTGCTCTGTGCCTTGGGGAATGAGTGGGCCCATCAATCTCAGGGAGTGAATAAATCAATATGGGCACGGTTCATTTTCTAGTTCAGTAGGTGTTCTAAATAAGACATTACCTGAGACTTTAAAAAAGGAAACAGAACAAACCCTCATGATTCAGGATCCCTGTTTGCCTATTTTCACACGTCGTAGCTCCATTTCCCCAACTAGGTCGCCCTAAGATCAGCCTTAGCAAGGCCTTCTGTTATGAGCGTGGAGTGGTAACTTGATGGTCTTCTGCTCATAATCTCAGCTGTGAAGGCCCATGATGGGACTCCATCGTTCTCCTTTTGCAGCAGCCCACCTGGCTTTTTTTCTTCCCTGCCCACTGCAAAGCCTGCTGTGTAGCACCCTTTGCACCAGCGACAAGAATCTCAGCATAACCAAGTACGTTACGTTCCCTTAGTGCCGCGTGCTTGCCATGTGAAATCTTTCCGGCCCCTTTAGAAAGGCCTTCCCAGCCTTTGTACCTGGAAACTATGAGCTGCAGTCTGAGCACATGCTCTGTGTGTCTGTGTGTGTGCGTGAGAGAGTGTGTGTGACAGTTTGGGGAAGGCTGCCTAGTTAGGGGAGGATAACACGATTTCTGTTGGTCAGTTTTGCTGTACTCTCCTGCAGTGCAAGTAAGGGGAAAACAGATTGCCGAGTTTATTTCCTCCCCTTCTCCTTCTTTTCAGCTGCTTCTTGTCTTTGCTTCTCGTGGCTGCCGTGGTTTGGAAGATCAAGCAGAGCTGCTGGGCATCGCGGCGGAGAGAGGTGGGTCAGAACGACACAATTACCACTTTCTGAAATGATCTGCAAGGTTTATCCCTGTTTCTTGCTTCTTTTTCTTTTCTTAAGAGAAGCAACAGCTTGCTTTTGGTAAAAGTGAATGTCCAGTATTTGTAAGCAGTCAGATCTTGGGTCATCACCTGTTTGAGGTATGGAAAGAAAAGCACAGGTCTTCTCCACATTCCTGACACCTGGATGGCCATTTATTTATGTATACTTCCGTACGGTCATATGGTCGTTTTTATATCGCTCATGACCAACACTCCAGGCAGTTTGCAGTAAATTTAAAAGTGTGTACATTAAAGTAGCTTGACATGAACAAGAATGCAGATTACAACCACAAAAACCCGTAAGAGCTGAGGGTCATTCATAAGCCACAAATTCCGGAATAGGATGGTATTTGTTACCTCCTGGGAAGCTGATAGGTTGTGGGGGGTGAGGTGGGGGGAATCTGAGCTCTTCTACGTTCTTGGAGCATGCTGTTCCCTAGAGTGACAGCATCCACCCCCTTCACTTCACATATGGTGGGGGCCCTTAGCATCCTATCTCGGGCAGAATGCACAAGGAAGACTGACTCCATTTGAGAGATGGCCCTGTAAGTACATAGGAGTTGGGCATTTTGAGCCAACTGAAATTTCTGAGATGTCTTCAAAGGCAACCCCCTATAAAGCATATCCCTGAAGCCCCCAAATGGTGAAAATCCTCACAGCGTGTCCCACTCTAGTTCTCAGTGCAGAGACATTTGCATTTAATTCCTTACAGGGTTTTGGCTTTCTGTCTTCTGCAGAATCTCACACCAGGTGAAACAGTATGTAGCTCCCCCACATTCTGACACCATGTCAAGAGGATAGAACATGAGGAAGAAGTCTGGTGGTGGTCGCAAACTATGAGTAAGCCAAGCCAGGACTTGAGACTTGTGCTCACCCTGCCTGAGATCTTACCATGAAAAAAAGTTAATTATTCCCACTTTATAGATGTGTTATACATATATACATATATATATACACATACATACATACATACTCTCCTCTGTATCTTACTGTTACAATTATTCCACAAATATCCAATAAAATAGGACTGGAGAATTGACTTACTCTATGAAGTGGTTGCTATAATCTTCTGCCTGGGGAGGTACCTGGCCCACATTCATTCTCTTTGGCTTTTGCTTCTCAACCACCTTGTTCATGAGGGACTCTGAAATGACTGCTTCTGATGTTAGCTTGCACCTAATGTTCTTGAGGAGACTATATGTCTTCATATAACTGAGTTTCCTTCTGGGAACTCCTGGTGGAGTGCTGTGAGTGTAATCCAAATGTTTTATCTGCATTTATCCCAAAGACATAGTCTGTGTAGCTGGAATTGGGCCTATTTAGCTTTTTGCCAAGAGGCTACCCCTTGAATTTTGGGAAAACCTTGATACTTCTCATGTAGTTGAGTCAAAGCCCATTCTCTCATCTTGTGGGGCATGAACAGGGCATGGCATTTCAGACTTAGCCATCTCTGTGTCCTCTCGAGCTTTCTGAATCCTTTCCTTCATAGAAAGTACATTGAACCAATAACTAAATTGGAGACATACATGCAGAATAACAGGGAATGACTGCCTCAAACTGGACACACCGTTTGCTTGGTGGTGGCTTCTCATTAAGCAACTGCATCAGTGAAATATTCAGGCAAGCGATAAGCATTCTTTCGGAACAAGAAAAAGCTGTTTTGGTGGTAGTTTTGAAATATCACCATTCTTATTTTTTACAGCAAAGCAATTTGAACTGTTACATTTTTCCCAAGTAGCATATCTGCTATGTTGATGTGAAATTAGTGAGTTTAAGAAAAACTGTAATCTTTACCATGTACATATAAAATCAAGTTTCTTGAAAAAGATGCAGGTTACTTCCATGTAACTCAGTGTAGAGCCAGTTTGTGTAAATATTTGTTCTAATTTCCATGCTGTTTTTTTTTTTTAAGTTAAACAATTTAAATAAAGAGTGTAAACAAAGAGATTAAAGACTGGAAAAAGAATAAAAGAGTAAAATATAAATAATGAAGTACAAATAAGTAAACAGGGGATCTAGAATGTCATGTAGATTATGGTTTTCCAGCATATTAATTACTTGTAATTTATAGAATATATTATATCACTTTAAAAAACTAGAAATTGCTATTAGGCTTTAAGCTGAGAATATGTTATTAAGAACAGTGGTCAACCCGGTACAAAATTGTAAGTTATAATTAGTGAATCAATACTGAGAAGCTATTCAAAGTGGAATATCCCATGAAGTTAAAATATGGACTCTATATATAGAAAAATCAAATTTTGGATGGTACAATGCCATGCATTAAATTATAGCCCAGGAATGGTTTCCAGTTAGAATTCAATTCTGCATCAGATTTACTTTTAAGGTAGGAAGTTATTCTGGACATCGAAGCCTATTTCATAACTTTGCATGATACCTTTGCAGCAGTTAATATATACAAAGCTAATTCAGTGTACTTTCTATGTACTCGTGGGTCCAGATATCCTTCTCTCCTGTTCAGAACACATGTACAACCACCTCAGTGCATATGACCGAACTTGACAATGCAGAAGGAGCATGGGTTCTGATCCCAAGATCTCTGTAATTTGAATGAAGTATAATATTTTATCAAGGATGTAATTGCAAAATAAATTGACTGAATATTAACAAACCAGCTATATCTGCCACTTAAGTCTCAATTACTCTTTTTTCTCAAGATATTGATATTACTCTGTTCTTTGAGATTGCCATGGCTACCGCTGCGTAACCCAACATTTGTTCACATTCAAAGGATTTCTCTTTCCTTTGATTTTGACATTTTTATTCTTCAGCTGGCTCTCATTTTGGGTGCTTTTGCTACAAGTGGGCACCTTGGATCCAGGAAGGAGATTTAACTTACCAGGAGGAGGAAGAGGAGGAGATGTGGCCGGGCATAACCTCACCACTCCTTTGCCCTGGTGGTAGGATCCCATTTGTCAGATGTGAGAAAAGTGGAGCAATATAGGCCCCATAGTCAGGTGGTTAAGCCATGTGGCTTAGAGAGAAGGGAACCATTTTGGGTTCCAAGCAAGAATCAGACTGGCTGAGGAGGTAGCCAAGCCTGTAATGATTCTCCCAGAGTTCTTGGTGATGTTTTGAAGACCTGATGATGTGCTGTAGAGGATGCCAGGTGTGGTTTGACCTCCACACTCTTAAGACCTTCGTGAAATACTTTTCCACATTTCATGGTAAGATTGAGACAAGCTAGAAAATACTCTTCTCTCTCTACTTCCCTGCCATCTAAGCCTGAGATGAAGTTGGGATGAGATCTCCAACCATCTCTCAGAACTAAACCTGTCTGTCTGCTTTAAGAACACAAAGGAACCAACCAGGTGAAGCACTAGAGCTGTGTGGAGTAGTTGTTTTCCTTCTCCTCCAACTGGAGATGTATTTAACAGCACAAGGCATGTTATAAAATAGACTTCAAAAACAGTTCTGTGTGGAGTCCTTGGGATTCTCTGAGCTTGGTTGTTTTCTTGCAAACGTTTCATTATCCGGCTAGGTAACAGCACTGAAGATGTTACATAGCCAGGTAACTGAAGATGTTACCTAGCTGGGTAATGAAACGTTTGCAAGAAAACAACCAAGCTCAGAAAACCCCAAGGACTCCACAGTTCAACCCTGAGCTACACATATTCTCTTCTACAGTTCTGTGTGCTCCATCAACAGGATGGTGAAATTTGAAGAATAAACAGCCATTGTTTTCCTCTCCAGATTTTCTTGATGAGAATCTTCTTTTCTCCTGCAACTGGAGATGTACTTAACAGCACAAGGCAGGTTATAAAGTCCTCATCAATAAATACACCTCAAAAACAGTTCTGTGTGCTCCATCAACAGGATGGAGAAATTTGAAGAATAAACAGCCATTGTTTTCCTCTCCAGATTTTCTTGATGAGAGGCTTCACAGAGATGTTTTTTTCCTGTATTAAATGCTAATCGGGGTTTATGCTGGATATAGGCTGAGAAATACCATGTTCTGCCTGGAGCCAAGTTGAGATATTTAATGAGGGTTTAGACAGAAAATGTCACTAGTATGAAATTGTCTTTAGGCATGTGTTTTGCAAAGATGATCATATGGTAGCTTAGCCTACCTACAGTTAAGTCTGTTATCCTTGGTTTATGCATTGAATCTAAAATGATAGACAACTGGTCAAATTTCAGGAGGGCACCAAAAGTTTATATTGATGTGATCCTCATCTTAACGGTATTCAAGAACTGTTCTCTGCTATTAATATTTACAAGTTGTGATGTCTTACTGATCCCCATTGTGTATCATGTCATTTACCCTCTGTCCCCAAATGATGTCTGGATAAGAGTAGTACCAATTTCCAGCAGCTGAATTAATCAACTCAAGAGACCCGTTCCTCAAATCCAGCACACATAATTTAGGTTATTGAAGCAGAGGAGGAACGTGTGTGGATAGCAGAATAAGTGAGAAGCTCTGAGAGCTGCATCTTAGGAAAAGACACATCCATTGGCAAACCAGGAGCATTGAAAGAACTTCCTTACAGAATATACTGGTGTAGGCTTTCCCAGCCAATATCTGTTGGGTAGTGTTGAGCTTCAGGGTTTAGTGCCCGTGGTCTAGACAATAAATTTTCTGACTTTTGCTGGCAACTCTGGCTGGCATCTTCAGAGGCAAGGTGGTCTGTTACGCTGACCACTGACCTGGTATTCTAATTGGTGCAGGTTGGTGAGGGCTGGTCTCTGATTGGCTCTTTGTTTCTTAAGCCAGTTTCTTTAGCTGAAACTAGCTCGGCTAAAGACCAATCAGAAGTCAGGTTGCCTGGCTGTAAAGACAGAAGCCCAGTCAGTCCCTGCTCAGTTGCCTGTCCTCTGCCTAGCAGACTACCTTGCCTCTGAAGATGCCAGCCACAGTTGCTGGTGAAACATCAGGAAATCTGTTGTCTAGACCACAGTCCCTAAACGCTGAAG